TGTCTCACCAGACACCTGTCCCTTGAGACACCTGTCCCACCAGACACCTGTCCCACCAGACACCTGTCCCTGATACACCTGTCCCACCAGACACCTGTCTCACCAGATACCGGTCCCACCAGACACCTGTCCCATCAGACATCTGTCCCACCAGACACCTGTCCCACCAGACATCTGTCCCACCAGACACCTGTCCCATCAGATACCTATCCCACCAGACGCCTGTCCCGTGAGTCACCTGTCCCAACAGACACCTGTCCCGTAAGACACCTGTCACACCAGACACCTGTCCCACCAGACACCTGTCCCACCGGACACCTGTCCCATGAAACACGTGTCCCACCAGACACCTGTCCCACCAGACACCTGTCCCACCAGACACCTGTCCCTGATACACAAGTCCCACCAGACACCTGTCCCACCAGACACGTGTCCCACCAGACACCTGTCCCGTGAGACACCTGTCCCACCAGACACCTGTCCCACTAGACGCCTGTCCCACCAGACACCTGTCCCACCAGACACCTGTCCCACCAGACACCTGTCTCACCAGACACCTGTCCCACCAGACACCTGTCCCATAAGACACCTATTCTGTGAGACACCTGTCGCACCAGACACCTGTCCCACCAGACACCTGTGCCACAAGACACCTGTCCCTGATACACCTGTCCCACCAGACACCTGTCCCGTAAGATACCTGTCACACCAGACACCTGTTCCACCGGACACCTGTGCCACAAGACACCTGTCCCAACAGACACCTGTCCCACCAGACACCTGTCTCTTGATACACCTGGCCCACCAGATGCCTGTCCCACCAAATGCCTGTCCCACCAGACGCCTGTCCCACCAGACACCTGTCCCACCGGACACCTGTCCCATGAGACACGTGTCCCACCAGACACCTGTCCCACCAGACACCTGTCCCACCAGACACCTGTCCCTGATACACCTGTCCCACCAGACACCTGTTCCATAAGACACCTGTCTCACCAGAAGCCTGTCCCACCAGACACATGTCCCATGAGACACCTGTCCCACCAGACACCTGTCCCTGAGACACCTGTCCCACCAGACACCTGTCCCGTAAGACACCTGTCTCACCAGACACCTGTCCCACCAGACACTTGTCCCGTAAGACACCTGTCCCACCGGACACCTGTCCCATGAGACACCTGTCCCACCAGACACGTGTCCCACCAGACGCCTGTCCCATGAGACACTTGTCCCACCAGACACCTGTCCCATGAGACACCTGTCTCACCAGACACCTGTCCCGTGAGACACCTGTCCCACCAGACACCTGTCCCCACCAGACACCTGTCCCACCAGACACCTGTCCCTGATACACAAGTCCCACCAGACACCTGTCCCACCAGACACGTGTCCCACCAGACACCTGTCCCTGATTCACCTGTCCCACCAGACACCTGTCCCACTAGACGCCTGTCCCACCAGACACCTGTCCCGTGAGACACCTGTACCACCAGACACCTGTCCCACCAGACACCTGTCCCACTAGACGCCTGTCCCACCAGACACCTGTCCCATAAGACACCTATTCTGTGAGACACCTGTCGCACCAGACACCTGTCCCACCAGACACCTGTGCCACAAGACACCTGTCCCTGATACACCTGTCCCACCAGACACCTGTCCCGTAAGATACCTGTCACACCAGACACCTGTTCCACCGGACACCTGTGCCACAAGACACCTGTCCCAAACAGACACCTGTCCCACCAGACACCTGTCTCTTGATACACCTGGCCCACCAGATGCCTGTCCCACCAATGCCTGTCCCACCAGACGCCTGTCCCACCAGACACCTGTCCCACCGGACACCTGTCCCATGAGACACATGTCCCACCAGACACCTGTCCCACCAGACACCTGTCCCACCAGACACCTGTCCCCTGATACACCTGTCCCACCAGACACCTGTTCCATAAGACACCTGTCTCACCAGAAGCCTGTCCCACCAGACACATGTCCCATGAGACACCTGTCCCACCAGACACCTGTCCCTGAGACACCTGTCCCACCAGACACCTGTGCCCGTAAGACACCTGTCTCACCAGACACCTGTCCCCACCAGACACCTTGTCCCGTAAGACACCTGTCCCACCGGACACCTGTCCCATGAGACACCTGTCCCACCAGACACGTGTCCCACCAGACGCCTGTCCCATGAGACACTTGTCCCACCAGACACCTGTCCCATGAGACACCTGTCTCACCAGACACCTGTCCCGTGAGACACCTGTCCCACCAGACACCTGTCCCACCAGACACCTGTCCCCACCGGACACCTGTCCCATGAGACACCTGTCCCACCAGACACCTGTCCCACCAGACACCTGTCCCACCAGACACCTGTCCCTGAGACACCTGTCCCCTGAGACACCTGTCCCACCAGACACCTGTCCCACCAGACACCTGTCCCGTGAGACACCTGTCTCACCAGACGCCTGTCCCACCAGACACCTGTCCCACCAGACACCTGTCCCGTGAGACACCTGTCTCACCAGACGCCTGTCCCACCAGACACCTGTCCCACCAGACACCTGTCCCGTAAGACACCTGTCTCACCAGACGCCTGTCCCGTGAGACACCTGTCCCACCAGACACCTGTCCCTGATACACCTGTCCCACCAGACACCTGTCCCACGAGACGCTTGTCCCACCAGACACCTGTCTCACCAGACACCTGTCCCGCCAGACACCTGTCCCACCAGACACCTGTCCCACCAGACACCTGTCCCTGATACACCTGTCACACCAGACACCTGTCTCACCAGATACCTGTCCCACCAGACACCTGTCCCATCAGACATCTGTCCCACCAGACACCTGTCCCACCAGACATCTGTCCCACAAGACGCTGGTCCCACCAGACACCTGTCCCACCAGACACCTGTCCCACCAGACATCTGTCCCACCAGACACCTGTCCCACCAGATACCTATCCCACCAGACGCCTGTCCCGTGAGACACCTGTCCCACCAGAAACCTGTCCCACGAGACGCCGGTCCCACCAGACACACCAGACACCTGTCCCACCAGACACCTGTCCCATAAGACACCTATTCTGTGAGACACCTGTCGCACCAGACACCTGTCCCACCAGACACCTGTGCCACAAGACACCTGTCCCACCAGACACCTATCCCACCAGACACCTGTCCCATGAGACACCTGTCCTGTGAGACACCTGTCCCACCAGACACCTGTCCCACCAGACACCTGTCCCTTGATACACCTGTCCCACCAGACACCTGTCCCACCAGATGCCTGTCCCACCAGACGCCTGTCCCACCAGACACCTGTCCCATGAGACACCTGTCCCACCAGACACCTGTCCCGTAAGACACCTGTCACACCAGACACCTGTCCCACCAGACACCTGTCCCACCGGACACCTGTCCCACCAGACACCTGTCCCACCAGACACCTGTCCCACCAGACACCTGTCCCACCAGACACCTGTTCCGTGAGACACCTGTCCCACCAGACACCTGTCCCGTGAGACACCTGTCCCACCAGACATCTGTCCCACCAGACACCTGTGCCACCAGATACCTATCCCACCAGACACCTGTCCCTGAGACACCTGTCCCACCAGACACCTGTCCCGTGAGCCACCTGTCCCACCAGACACCTGTGCCACCAGACGCCTGTCACACCAGACACCTGTCCCACTAGACGCCTGTCCCACCAGATACCTGTCCCGTAAGACACCTGTCCCACCAGACACCTGTCCCGTGAGACACCTGTCCCACCAGACACCTGTGCCACCAGACACCTGTCCCACTAGACGCCTGTCCCACTAGACGCCTGTCCCACCAGACACCTGTCCCGTGAGACACCTGTACCACCAGACACCTGTCCCACCAGACACCTGTCCCACTAGACGCCTGTCCCACCAGACACCTGTCCCATAAGACACCTATTCTGTGAGACACATGTCGCACCAGACACCTGTCCCACCAGACACCTGTCCCACCAGACACCTGTCCCACCAGACACCTGTCCCACCAGACACCTGTCCCACCAGACACCTGTCCCATGAGACAACTGTCCCACCAGACACCTGTCCCACCAGACACCTGTCTCACCAGACACCTGTCCCACCAGACGCCTGTCCCACCAGACACCTGTCCCACCAGACACCTGTCCCATGAGACACCTGTCCCACCAGACGCCTGTCCCATGAGACACCTGTCCCACCAGACACCTGTCCCATGAGACACCTGTCCCACCAGACACCTGTCCCACCAGACACCTGTCCCACCAGACACCTGTCCCACCAGACACCTGTCCCACCAGACACCTGTCCCACCAGACACCTGTCCCACCAGACACCTGTCCCACCAGACACCTGTCCCACCAGACACCTGTCCCACCAGACACCTGTCCCACCTGACACCTGTCCCACCAGACACCTGTCCCACCAGACACCTGTCCCACCAGACACCTGTCCCTTGATACACCTGTCCCACCAGACACCTGTCCCACCAGACGCCTGTCCAGCCAGACGCCCACTTGACACGCGGATTCACGTGAAATCCGCTAAAATCCCACCGGCTATAAAAGTGTTGACGTCACCACCTCCAGGGGGGGGGGGGGGGCACAGCGTGTGGGGGGGGGGGCGGGGGGGGTGTAACATGGGTAGGGGCGGGCGGGCAGGCTGGTGGGTGTGGGAGGGAGGAGTTGTGGGGGCTATAAAAACAAAGTGTGGACACCTCCCCGCCCACGCGCACCCCCCCCCCCCCGTTCACCCCCTCCCCCCCTACACGCCCCCCACCGTTCCCCCCCCCCCCTCCCGCCACGTGCGCTCCACCTTTAAAAAGGGAGACGCGGAGCTCACCGCGAGCTTAGCCCGGACACTGAGCGCCTCCTCCTGCTGCTCCTCCTGCTCCTCCTGCTGCTCCTCCTGCTGCTGCTCCTCCTGCTGCTCCTCCTGCTGCTGCGCCTCCTCCTCCTGCTGCTCCTCCTCCTGCTGCTGCTCCTCCTCCTCCTGCTGCTCCTCCTGCTCCTCCTGCTGCTCATCCTGCTGCGCCTCCTGCACACCGCCTGCACAAGTTGGAGTCGGCTTGGCACACTCCGCGTGTGTGTGATGCTGTGTGTGTGATGCTGTGTGATGCTGTGTGTGTGTGATGCTGTGTGTGATGCTGTGTGTGTGATGCTGTGTGTGTGATGCTGTGTGTGTGATGCTGTGAGTGATGCTGTGTGTGTGATGCTGTGTGTGTGATGCTGTGTGTGTGATGCTGTGTGTGTGATGCTGTGTGTGTGATGCTGTATGTGTGTGATACTGTGTGTGTGGTGCTGTGTGTGTGTGATGCTGTGTGTGATACTGTGTGTGTGATGCTGTGTGTGTGATGCTGTGTGTGTGATGCTGTGTGTGTGATGCTGTGTGTGTGATGCTGTGTGTGTGTGATGCTGTGTGTGTGTGAGATGCTGTGTGTGTGATGCTGTGTGTGTGATGCTGTGTGTGTGTGATGCTGTGTGTGTGATACTGTGTGCGTGACGCTGTGTGTGATGCTGTGTGTGTAATGCTGTGTACGTGATACTGCGTGTGTGATGCTGTGTGTGTGATGCTGTGTTTGTGATGCTGTCTGTGTGTGATGCTGTCTGTGTGTGATGCTGTGTGTGATGCTGTCTGTGTGTGATGCTGTGTGTGATGCTGTGTGTGTGTGATGCTGTGTATGTGATGCTGTGTGTGTGATGTTGTGTGTGTGTTGCTGTGTGTGTGTGATGCTGTGTGTGTGATGCTGTGTGTGATGCTGTGTGTATGATGCTGTGTGTGTGATGCTGTGTGTGTGATGATGCTGTGTGTGATGCTGTGTGTGTGATGCTGTGTGTGATGCTGTGTGTGTGATGCTGTGTGTGTGATGCTGTGTGTGTGATGCTGTATGTGTGTGATGCTGTGTGTGTGATGCTGTGTGTGTGATGCTGTGTGTGTGTGATGCTGTGTGTGTGATGCTGTGTGTGTGATGCTGTGTGTGTGATGCTGTGTGTGTGATGCTGTCTGTGTGATGCTGTGTACGTGATGCTGTGTGTGTGTGATGCTGTGTGTGATACTGTGTGTGTGATGCTGTGTGTGTGATGCTATGTGTGTGATATTGTGTGTGTGATATTGTGTGTGTGATGCTGTGTACGTGATGCTGTGTGTGTGTGATGCTGTGTGTGTGATGTTGTGTGTGTGTGATGCTGTGTGTGTGTGATGCTGTGTGTGTGATACTGTGTGCGTGACGCTGTGTGTGATGCTGTGTGTAATGCTATGTACGTGATGCTGTGTGTGTGTGATGCTGTGTGTGATGCTGTGTGTGTGATACTGTGTGCGTGACGCTGTGTGTGATGCTGTGTGTGTAATGCTGTGTACGTGATACTGCGTGTGTGATGCTGTGTGTGTGATGCTGTGTTTGTGATGCTGTCTGTGTGTGATGCTGTCTGTGTGTGATGCTGTGTGTGATGCTGTGTGTGTGTGTGATGCTGTGTATGTGATGCTGTGTGTGATGTTGTGTGTGTGTTGCTGTGTGTGTGTGATGCTGTGTGTGTGATGCTGTATGTGTGTGTGATACTGTGTGTGTGATGCTGTGTGTGTGTGATGCTGTGTATGTAATGCTGTGTGTGTGATGCTGTGTGTGTGTTGCTGTGTGTGTGTGTGATGCTGTGTGTGTGATGCTGTGTGTGATGCTGTGTGTGTTGCTGTGTGTGTTGCTGTGTGTGATGCTGTGTGTGTGTTGTTGTTGGTGCTGTGTGGTGGTGGTGGTGGTGGTGCTGTGTGGTGGTGGTGGTGCTGTGTGGTGGTGGTGCTGTTTGGTAGTGGTGGTGGTGGTGGTGCTGTGTGGTGGTGCAGTGTGTATGTGTGTCAGTGTGTGCGTCTTTGTGTGCGTGGGAAACGGTAGTGTAGTGGTTAGCGCGCTCCGCTATGAACCTGGCAACCCGAGTTCGATTCCCGCTCACGGCCACCACCGGTGACGATTATCTGAACCGGTCCTGGACCTCTCTGAGGCCGACTCAGCCTCAAATAAGTCCCTGGTGCGGTTGGTAAAAAAACATCGCCACTGGGGAGACAAAGGCGGCCGGGCGTGGTGCTGGCCACCCACCCCCTTGTGTGCCGTGCCGCTAACGGCACTTGCCCCTACAGTCTGTTGAGGCTACACGGGGGATCTTTGTCTGTGTGTGGTCCCGTAGTGGAGCGGTTCGCGCTACGAACCCGGCGACCTGCACTCCCTGGTACTCGCCCCTAGGTCGACTCGGCCTCAAATAATATTACCGGGTCACGCGCGTAAACACCGCCACTCGCGAGCTTCGCTGTGCAAACTCGCGAACGGCACTTGCCCCCGAGAAGCCTGTCGAGGCTATAGGGGTGATCTTTGCCTTTACCTGTGTGTGTGTGCACCCCCTCCACGGCCCCCCTCCCCAGCCGTCATGATGAGCTCTCGGAAGGCGGCCGCGTTGCTCCTGGTCCTCGCGCTCCTCTCGGCCCACGTGTGCGCGCGAGCCTACCCAGCCAGGTGAGCTAGAGGAGGCGAAGGGTAAAGTAGCCCCCCCCCATGTAGCCCCCCCCCCATGTAGCCCCCCCCCCCCGTGTAGCCTCCCCCCCCCGTGTAGCCTGCTGGGGGAGGGCAGGAGGAGGGAGTGGACATAGCAGCTTAGCGGTCCATCAGGTCCTAGAACTAAATCACTAACTCACTCACTAACTCACCTACTCACTAAATCACCGACTCATTAACGCACCCACTAACTCACTCACTAACTCACCTACTAACTCACATACTAACTCACATACTAACTCACCTACCCACTAACTCACCCACTAACTCACCTACACTCACAAACTCACTCACTAACTAAATCACCTACTCACCTACCTACTCACTAACTCACCTACACACTAACTCACCTACTAACTCACTCACTAACTCACCTACTAACTCACCTACACTCACTAACTCACCCACTAACTCACTCACTAACTCACCTACTAACTCACCTACACTCACTAACTCACTCACTAACTAAATCACCTACTCACCTACCTACTCACTAACTCACCTACCCACTCACTAACTCACTCACTAACTCACTCACTAACTCACCTACTAACTCACCTACACTCACTAACTCACTCACTAACTCACCTACTATCTCACCTACTCACTAACTTACCCACTAACTCACTCAATAACTCACCTACTAACTCACCTACACTCACTAAGTAACTCACCTACTCACCTACCTACTCACTAACTCACCTACTCACTAACTCACCTACTAACTCACCTACACTCACTAACTCACTCACTAACTAAATCACCTACTCACCTACCTACTCACTAACACATCTACCCACTCACTAACTCACTCACTAACTCACCCACTAACTCACTCACTAACTCACCTACTAACTCACCTACACTCACTAACTCACTCAGTAACTCACCTACGAACTCACCTACTCACTAACTTACCCACTAACTCACTCACTAACTCACCTACTAACTCACCTACACTCACTAACTCACTCACTAACTAACTCACCTACTTACCTACCTACTCACTAACTCACCTACTCACTAACTCACCTACTAACTCACCTACACTCACTAACTCACTCACTAACTAAATCACCTACTCACCAACCCACTCACTAACTCGCTCACTAACTCACCCACTCACTAACTCACCTACACTCACTATCTCACTCACTCACTGACTCACCTACCCACTCACCTACTCACCTACCCAATCACTAACTCAGTCACCTACTCACTAACTCACTAACTCCCCTACTAACTCACTCACTAACTAACTCACTAACTCACCTACTCACCCACTCGCGAACTCACCTACTCACCCACTCGTATACTCACCTACCCACTCACTAAGTCACCGACTCACCCACTCACTAACTCACCTACCCACTAACTCACTCACTCACTAACTCACCCACTCCCTAACTCACCTACCCACTCACTAACTCACCTACCCACTCCCTAACTCACCTACCCACTCACTAACTCACCTACCCACTCACTAACTCACCTACTCACCCACTCCCTAACTCACCTACCCACTCACTAACTCACCTACCCACTCACTAACTCACCTACTCACCCACTCATTAACTCACCTACCCACTCACAAACTTACCAAATCACCCACTCACCAACTCACCTACCCACTCACCTACTCACCCACTCACTAACTCCCCTACTCACTCATTCACTAACTCACCCACTCACCATATCACCTACCCACTCACTAACTCGCCTACTCATTCACTCACTAACTCACCTACCCACTCACTAACTCACCTACTCACCGACTCACTAACTCACCTACCCACTCACCAACTCACCTACTCACCCACTCGCTAACTCACCTACTCACCTACCCACTCAATAACTCACCTACTCACCCATTCACTAACTCACCTACCCACTCACTAACTCACCTACTCACCCACTCCCTAACTCACCTACCCACTCACTAACTCACCTACCCACTCCCTAACTCACCTACCCACTCACTAACTCACCTACCCACTCACTAACTCACCTACTCACCCACTCCCTAACTCACCTACCCACTCACTAACTCACCTATCCACTCCCTAACTCACCTACCCACTCACTAACTCACCTACCCACTCACTAACTCACCTACTCACCCACTCACTAACTCACCTACCCACTCACTAACTCACCTACTCACCCACTCACCAACTCACCTACCCACTCACCTACTCACCCACTCACTAACTCACCTACCCACTCACTAACTTACCTACCCACTCACAAACTCACCTACCCACTCACTAACTCACCTACCCACTCACTAACTCGCCTACTCATTCACTCACTAACTCACCTACCCACTCACTAACTCACCGACTCACTAACTCACCTACCCACTCACCAACTCACCTACTCACCCACTCGCTCACCTACTCACCCACTCGCTAACTCACCTACCCACTCAATAACTCACCTATCCACTCACTAACTCACCTACACACCGACTCACTTACTCACCTACCCACTCACTAACTCATCTACTCACCCAATCGCTAACTCACCTATAAACCCACTCCCTAACTCACCTACCCACTCACTAACTCACCTACTCACCCACTCGCTAACTTACCTATTCACCCACGCGCTAACTTGCCTACCCACTCACTAATTCACCTACTCACCCACTCCGTAACTCTCATACCCACTCACTAACTCACCTACTCACCCACTCGCTAACTCACCTACCCACTCACTAACTCACCTACTCACCCACTCGCTAACTCACCTACTCACCCACTCGCTAACTCACCTACCCACTCACTAACATACCTAATCACCCACTCGCTAACTCACCTACCCACTCACTAACTCACCTACTCACCGACTCACTAACTCAACTACTCACCGACTCACTAACTCACCTACTCACCGACTCACTAACTCACCTACCCACTCACTAACTCACCTACTCACCCACTCCCTAACTCACCTACCCATTCAATAACTCAACTACCCACTCTCTAACTCACCTACCCACTCAATAACTCACCTACTCACTCACTCACTAACTCACCTACCCACTCATTAACTCACCTACCCACTCACCTACTCACCCACTCACTAACTCACCTACCCACTCACTAACTTACCTACCCACTCACAATCTCACCTACCCTCTCACTAACTCACCTACCCACTCACTAACTCGCCTACTCATTCACTCACGAACTCACCTACCCACTTACTAACTCACCTACTCACCGACTCACTAACTCACCTACCCACTCACCAACTCACCTACTCACCCACTCGCTAACTCACCTACTCACCCACTCGCTAACTCACCTACTCACTCACTAACTCACCTACCCACTCACTAACTCACCTACTCACCGACTCACTAACTCACCTAATCACCGACTAACTAACTCACCTACCCACTCACCAACTCACCTACTCACCCACTCGCTAACTCACCTATAAACCCACTTCATAACTCACCTACCCACTCACTAACTCACCTACTCACCCACTCGCTAACTCACCTATTCACCCACTCGCTAACTCGCCTACCCACTCACTAATTCACCTACTCACCCACTCTGTAACTCTCATACCCACTCACTAACTCACCTACTCACCCACTCGCTAACTCACCTACCCACTCACTAACTCACCTACTCACCCACTCGCTAACTCACCTACTCACCCACTCGCTAACTCACCTACCCACTCACTAACATACCTAATCACCCACTCGCTAACTCACCTACCCACTCACTAACTCACCTACTCACCGAATCACTAACTCACCTACTCACCGACTTACTAACTCACCTACCCACTCACTAACTCACCTACTCACCCACTCACTAACTCACCTACCCACTCACTAACTCACCTACCCAATTCCTAACTCACCTACCCACTCACTAACTCACCTAAACACTCACTAACTCAACTACTCACCTACTCACCCACTCACTAACTCACCTACCCACTCACTAACTCACCTACACACCCACTCCCTAACTTACCTACCCACTCACTAACTCACCAACTCACCCACTCACTAACTCACCTACCCACTCGCTAACTCACCTACCCACTCAGTAACTCACGTACCCACTCACTAACTCACCTACTCACCGACTCACTAACTCACCTACTCACCGACTCACTAACTCACCTACCCACTCACTAACTCACCTACTCGCCTACTCACTAACTCACCTACTCACCCATTCACTAACTCACCTACCCACTTACTAACTCACCTTCTCGCTAACTCACCTACCCACTCACTAACATCACCTACTCACCCATTCACTAACTCACCTACCCACTCACTACTCACCTACTCACCCACTCGCTAACTCACCTACCTATTCACTAACTCACCTACTCACCCACTCACTCTCACACCTACTCACCCATTCGCTAACTCACCTACCCACTCACTAACTCACCTACTCACCGACTCACTAACTCAACTACTCACCGACTCACTAACTCACCTACTCACCGACTAACTAACTCACCTACCCACTCACTAACTCTCCTACTCACCCACTCCCTAACTCACCTACCCACTCACTAACTCACCTACCCAATTCCTAACTCACCTACCCACTCACTAACTCACCTACACACTCACTAACTCACATACTCACCTACTCACCCACTCACTAACTCACCTACCCACTCACTAACTCACCTACACACCCACTCCCTAACTTACCTACCCACTCACTAACTCACCAACTCACCCACTCGCTAACTCGCCTACTCATTCACTCACTAGCTCACCTACCCACTCACTAACTCACCTACTCACCGACTCACTAACTCACCTACCCACTCACCAACTCACCTACTCACCCACTCGCTAACTCACCTACTCACCCACTCGCTAACTCACCTACCCACTCACTAACTCACCTACCCACTCCCTAACTCACCTACACACCGACTCACTTACTCACCTACCCACT